CTAAATGATATTCAAGAAAATAAGTTAGGAAGCCGTCAATCAGTGAAGTAATAATAGGAAGAAAGAGACTTACTGGTGAGAAGTCATGAAGGAAAACTAAGGTTCTAGTCTCACATGTTGGAGGGATATCACCCATGCTCTATAGCACACAAATTACTAACCCCTCCCCAGTATAAGTTTAGCAGTATAATCTGTGGCTCATATTGTAGGTCCAGATGTTACAGAGGCAGGAGTTCTAATTGAAACTACCCCACAATCCAATTATAATTATATACCTATAATTATATAATTATATTATATATTTATAATTAATATAATACATAATTGACATTATTAATGTTATTACTGATGGTTTTTCTCTTTTCCAAGCTTGTTGGAGAGATCACTATGGGAAATAATCTGTTGGAGGTGAAACTGTCAATCTTACCTGCCTCGATGTGTATCTTTACCTCCTTCTTTCCTATCTTAATGGAAGAGGTGACCCTTAATGAAAGACATAACCCTTCTGTCTATGGCTGATCTTTTTTTCTTTTTTAAGATTTTATTTATATATTTGAGAGAGAGAGAGAGAGAGAGAGCGTGCACATGAGCAAGGGGGAGGGGCAGAGGGAGAGGGAGAAGCAGACTCCCTGATGAGCAGGGATTGGGGGGCGCGGCTTGATGCCAGGACCTTGAGATCATGACCTGAGCCAAAAGGAGACCCTTGACCAACTGAGCCACCCAGATGCCCCTATGGCTGATCTTAATTGGATCTTAATTGGTGACATTTCTCCTGTCCAAGGCTGATCCTTCCTCCTTTCTTTATCACAGCTTCTCCCACCTCCTGAGGGATTTTGCCCTATCAGTGATTCCTTTTTGTCTTGTTTCCTCTCCACTGGCAAATTTCTTCCATTTTTATAAGAAATCCCCCCATACTAAAATAATGCCCTCCTAGACTCTTCATCAGTAGTTCTCAAAGTGTGATCTGAAGAGCTCCTATATCAGAATCACCTGGGATGCTTGTTTAAAATGCAGAGTCCTGGCCCCACCCCAATCTAGTAAGACACATTGGTGCTCTGGAACCTGCGTTCTAACAAACACCCCAGGTGAATCTGATGTGCCATGCAGTTGGAGAAAAGTATTTAGTTACTTATTCATTACCCACTCTTGTATATACTGTGAATATTTCACTTTTCCCTATTTCTCAAATCTTCAAAAGCATCAAGCCCAGCACCCCTCCCACACACATCCTGATTTTATAGAAAAAAAAAGAAACCATTAAAGGAAAAAAAAAAACCCTCTAATTCCCACACTATATATGTAACTTCATTCATATCTAGTCTTTCTACTTTCCCTCCTGTCAACATGGAAAATATGTATTTTCTCCTTCTGAGGCTATGACATCTGAGTTCATTTTTCATCTTTTCCTACACTTCCAAACACTTCACTCGATCTATTATCCTGTCTCTTATATTTTTAATATTTCCTTATTTAGAGCCTTCTTTCTATCGACATTTAAACATATGTACAGTTGATCCTTGGACAACACGGGGTTAGGAGCACCGGCCCCTCTCTCCCAGCATCCGCAGTCGAAAATCCACGTATAACTTTTTTGGCTCCCCAAAAACTTAACTTCTAATAGCCTACTCTTGACCAGGAGCATTACTGAAAACACAAGCAGTCAATTAATACATATTTTGTATGTTATTTGTATTATGTACCATATTCTTACAATCAAGTTAAGGTAGAAAAAAAGAAAATCATAAGGAAAACACATTTACAGTACTGTATAATCCACGTATAAGTGCACACCCCTGTTGTTCAAGGGTCAACTATACAAACTTCTCCCATGGTCAAGATAATTCTCCCTTAATTTCATGAACCAAACACCTCCAGCCACTATACTGGTTCACCTTCTCTTCTCAGCTAAGCTTCTTGAAGATGCCTATACTGACTGCCCATTTGCTGCCCACTTTAATTTCCACCCCATTATTTCCCTGAAACTGCTCTCACTAAAATGACCCAAAATTACTTAGTTGTTAAATCCAATGGACACTCAGTCCGTACGTTATTTGACCCCTCAGTTCCATCTGACAGTTGTCTGTTCCCTTCTTGGAAACTTCCTTCTCTTGGCTTCCTTGATATCTAACTCTTCTTCCCATCTCTGTGCTGCTCCTTCCCACTCTCCTTCTCAGGCTTCTCTCCCTCTGCCCTTCCCTTAAGTGGTGGGCTCCTAGAGTCCTTTCCTAGCACCCTCTCTTTCTCTCCCCATTCATCTTATCCACGCCTATTGTTTCAATTAATAACTACTGCAGAAGAGTCCCATGTATACACTCCTAGTCCAACTTATTCTGAGCTCCAGATCCATATAATCAATTGTGTAGACTGTATTTCTACATAGATGCCTCACAGGTACCTCATAACATATATATTCAAAATTACTCTGGTAACTTCCACTCAAACTCCTTCCAGGTAAATGGCATCCTCTGCAAGCTGCCCAAGCCAGCAACTTGAGTCATCCTTGACTCCTTCCTCCCTCTCTCTCCTGTTAACTCACACCCAGAATGCTGCAACAGCCTCCTAACTGACCATTCTCCAGTTTTGCTTCCTTCCAATCCAGGGTGATACCCTGGAAGAAAAGACCACAGCCATACTGGCCATTAGGTCCTAAATATTTGATGTAGTTTTGAAATTAGGCTGTCAACTAAGGCAAAAATAAAGGAAAAGTAATCTTCATATTTTTTCAATGCTTGTTCTAATGCTATCACATTGCTCTAAAAAAAATTTCTCAGGAGGAGATTTATATAGGGAGCAAAAACTGATGAAATGGACAATGTCCTCAACAACATTCCTGTGATATATCCTACGATTTCATTCAGCAAGTATTTATGCAGTACTTACTATAAGCCAGGCACTGTGCTCACTACTGCAGAAGAAACAGTGAATGTGGTTGTTTCTTATCTAATCTCATGATTAAAACCAAGTTTTGGCATCATATTAAATGCAACCCTCTGCACACAATTTGGTGGGAGAAGGCTGGTGTTCCAAGTTATCCCTGCCTGATGGCAAAACCTGGGGGCACAACAGTAGTTCAGTTCCTCTACCTCCTTCCTCCTCTCCTGGGGCTGTCCCCGGAGCATGATTTCAGGATTTCTAGCCTTTCTTCTAAATTACAGTTTACCACCACTACCAGCACCACCATACATCACATATTAAATATTTATAGGACTCCCCAAGAGTTGTCTTATATGTGCTGACAAACAGTACTCTCAACTACCACATGGAATCTGTCATTTTCCAACCTCACCTGCTCTGGCTTCCTGCAGAGATCTGCTGCTGAGGCATCCCCAGCACAGTCACCCCGACCACATATATGTGTCCTGTCCAGACAAGCTGCTGCTATTGCTCATACAAGTCAAAGGGGCTGCTCATAATGCTTGACAAATTGATGCTGAGGCTGCCACAGTGCAGGGTGTGGACTAGGGTGGCCTGTCAATTACTGGCGAAGGTATTGGCACCCAGATGCCAATGTTACATTGCCTTGAAGCTGCACTGATGTGCTAAAACTCCCAGGGCTCATGGCCCTTCTGTACGAAAGTTGTACCATGTTTCTGCTGAACTGTTGAGAACAGCTCTCTCGAACCACCGGGATTACATTTCATCACACGGTTTCCGAAGCAGTGTTGTCTGGCACTCCTGATGCCTTATTTAGGCTATAGAAAAACAGCTTTTGGTTTGTAATCACATCAGGATGCACAGTAAGACTCTGAAGAGTGAGTCCATCCATGGGCTAGGCTAGTGGGAAAACTGTGACAATGTGCGGTTTTCCAAAATGACCCTTCCCCCACAGTAGGGCATTCATAACATTCTAGCTTGGTGAACAAGTTTAGACCTAGGTCAGGACTCATACTCCATAATTATGTTGTCTTCACATTTGATCCAGCTTGATCCAGGACTAGAATTTAGAAGGATTTAAGAACTCGTTAGAGGACATATATTCAGACTCTTCTCACAAATGTCCCTCCTCTCATCTTGACTTTTGCCTTCAGATAGACACAGCTGGTTCCATTGTGTCCTGTTGCAAAGATCTGGAACACAGGCTTGAGGTAATCCTATATGCAAGAGAAACCAGACCAACAGGCTGCTATGGGTTGTAAATTAAGGTGTTCAGTCACTGGGACACCCACAGGCAAGACCTGGATTTTTCCACAAGAAACGCTTTGGATATGAGTAAACACATCAGTGAGCTTAAAGTTCTACATGTTTGCGACAATTTAGGCCTCTTTAAACTTAGAAGAGGTATAGTAAGTGAAGATTAAATATAAAATGCCTAGTGCCGCCCTTCGCAAATGGTCATCACTCAGTAAGTTGGGTGTCTGGGCTCTTAGTTTCAGCGACCTTCCAGGACTTCAAGAAAATCTACACTCCTCAGACTTAAATTACTCCCCTCAGCCACCCAATTCTACCCCAATCTTCACTTTTCCTACCCTATCGGCCAGGGAAACTGGCGGATTCACTCCTATTACATTGGCCACCCACTCCTGGAGACTTGCACCCGCTGGAGCTGAGGAGCGAGGTCCGCTGTCCCAGGCGAGGAATTACTTCCAACTAAGGGGCCCGCCGCGCGCAGCCTTGTGGGAGTTGTAGTTCTCAGAACTCAGAGCCTCCAAACAGGCGTCACCGCGGGACTCGTTTTCCCATGCTCCTATGCGCAGATCTACTTGGGACAAGTCCTTTGGGTACCCCGGTGAGGAGGTGTGTGCGAGCTTGCTGACAGAAAAGTGGAATCTAGTCGTCTGTGTTCGTGGAGTCTGCTACCGAGGAACTCAGGGCTGGTTCCTGTCCCTTCGGAGCCCTGGAGGCCTAACTTGGATTCCAAGTTTAAGATTCCCTAGAGGGTGAAAGATTAGGAGCTGAGCTTCCCCCTGCCGGGTCTACTGCGGGAGTAGCCAACCCCGACCCGAGTTAAAACTCCCAGGGAGTCTTCGCTGCTCCCACCTCCGCTTCAACCCCGGCGCTCCCACTTGGGGTCTCCGTTAGGGCCGGGAGTCGCCGCGGGTCGTTGGATGTGCGTGCCAGCGGGTTCCCGGGAACTTGGGGGCGGCCTCTGAGACCCGGCGCGGGCAGAAAGTTTATATTCGCCTTCTGCAGCCTCACCCGCGAGGGCCGCCCAGCGGCTTCCACCATGATCAGCGGTGTGTTCAGCGTGCGCATGTGGGGGCCCGTGGGCTTCCTGACCTCGCTGGCTTACTGCGTCCACCAGCGGCGGGCCGCCGGGGCAGAGCCGCGAAGGGCAGACGGCCAGCATCCCGTCGACCGGAGTCGGCTGGAGTTGAAAATGGTGCAGGTCGTGTTCCGACACGGGGCTCGGAGCCCTCTCAAGCCGCTCCCGCAGGAGGAGCAGGTGAGAGGTCGGCCTGGGCAGGGGCTGGTGGGGCGAGGACCGTGCGGTCGACCCGGGCTGGACCGGGCGCCCTGAACACTCACCTTTGGAGTTTTACTCTCACTGAGCTGGATTCCTGTTGGGTCCAGACCAAGGGAAAACTGCTGTAGCCAGTTCCGCCCCCAGCTCTTGAGCAGAGGAGCTGCTGGCCTGGTACTCCTAGTCCCCTTTCTTCCTCGTACCCTCCAGGTGTAAGGCACCCCGGGAACTTCCATTTGTGCCCCTGATGGCTATGGTGTAGCACAGCTGGGAGCACTGTGCTACTTACGGTACTTATTTAAAGCGCCTAGGGATCTTGTCAAAATGAGGATTCTAATTCAAGCGGTGTGAGGTAGGCCTGAGATGCTGTATTTTAACAGCTATTGGGGTGAACTTGAGAACCAAAGTGTAGTGCATTTCTGTGTGACTGTTCTGAAGGTTGTCAAGAGTTGCGGGAACCTTTGTGACAGGAACCACGTAACTGGGATCACAGTGGATAACAGAGCTCAGTATCTTTGGGAACAGATTTTTACAGCAGCTTTCTCCCAGGCTTTGCTGGAGACCATCTGAGATCCCTTGAAAGCTGCTTTTTTTTTTTTTTTTTGTAATAATTGCTATATCTTGGGGCTCTCCCTTTCTATTTTGGGTTTCTAAAACTCTTGTGGAAGGGATTTGAGGTAGGAAAACATTTTTAATTGGCTAGTCTTGTGGCTATAAAGTCTTAAAATCTACCTAGTTCAGTCAGGATAATTATGACTAAAGCACAAATAATTAGTTTTTTTTTTTTAAGTGATTAACCTTCCTGAATTTGATTTTTGGGGAGAAGCAGTGAAGGTCTCTGACCTTTGATAGCAGGCAGGCCTGTAATTGAAGAACTGGCTTCCCGGTGAGGATAGAGACAACCTGAAATCCCCAGGCCCCTTAGCCGTCATACTTACCTGTGGAGTGTTTTTGCATTATTGGTCCTCCAGGTTAGTTGGAGCAAGTTAAATACATGTCCAAACCTGATATTTGTCATACTCTTCATGATCATAGTTGCTTTCCGGAAACCCTTAGGGTTGTGTCCTCACACTGTATGCTGGAAAATCTAGTTTTTAAAGCTGGTCACACTCGAACTCAAACTTGTAAAGCACTTCCCACATAGATAAATTTTGGCAGGCACTTAATTCTGTTATCAGATTTCTAGTTAGCCTTTCCGAATGGCTATACCACTTTCTAGTATTGGAGTATCTAGGTTCCACTTCCTGGTATTGGAGTTTCTTTTTTTCTCTTCCTCCCTTCTTCCCCCCCCCCTTCCTTCCCTTCTTTTTGATGCTTTTTCAATCCCTTACTCTGCCTTTTTGTATTGGGTCACTAAATTTTCCTTATGATTTTTGTACATAGCCCATCTCATGTGCACTCTCCCTTCTTCATTTATTCTTGTTACAGAAAAGCTGGAAAGTAACATATAGGGGTGGAAGACTCATGTTAAAAGACAAAGCTATCAGTGGTAGCAAGAGAATAAAAGTCTAAATGTCTAGGCTTGGACCTAGTATGTACAGTATATATACTCCCTTAATTTAGATTCTTATAGGACTTTCTCCTGAGCCAGTATGTGTGTGATGGGTACCTTCTGCCATTATGTTGGAAGGGGCAGTTTGTAGCTCACATAGAATGCCATCTTCACTCATTTTCTGTCTCTGTAGCCACAAAATAAGAACCATCTGAGTCCGTGGCCTTGCTTTGCAATTAGGGAAGGCACTTTACCTCTCCTGCCTGCTCACATTCTCAGACTTCAGGCAAATGCATTAGACACCTTTGATTATCTCTTATAAAGTTATGTGAATAAAAGCCAGGGGTGGAACCAAGCCTCTTTCAATTTAGGCTGTGAGAAGGTGTCATCAGCTTCCTGTAACTTGTTTCTGGATGTTTTCTCTCAGGTTTTTCTTTTCAAGATCCCGTTTGATAGAGGTTGTTATTGGGATTTTTCTGATCTTCCTGGTTCTGATATTAACTGTAGTTAGAAGGGACTACCTGGCAACAATTCTAAAACTAAAATTGCCTTTGATAGATGTGTCCAGACTTGTGACTGGTTTATAGATGACAAGTCACTTCATTCAGTTGTCTCACAAATCTTCAGAAAGTAGCATTGTCTAAAATTAGATGTTTTTTGAAATTCTTAGTTTTCTTTTTTTAATTTTATTTTATTATGTTAGTCACCATACATTACATCATTAGTTTTTGATGTAGTGTTCCATGATTCATTATTTGCATATAACACCCAGTGCTCAATGCAATACATGCCCTCCTTAGTACCCATCACCAGGCTAACCTATCCCTCCACCCCCCTCCCCTCTAAAACCCTCAGTTTGTTTCTCAGAGTCCATAGTCTCTCATGGTTCGTCTTCCCCTCCAATCCCCCCCTTCATTTTTCTCTTCCTATTATCTTCTTCTTTTTAACATATAATGTATTATTTGTTTCAGAGGTATCGGTCTGTGACTCACCAGTCTTAGAAAATTCACAGCGCTCACCCTAGCACATACCCTCCGCAATGTCCATCACCCAGCCCCCCATCCCTCACCCCCCGCCACTCCAGCAACCCTCAGTTTGTTTCCTGAGATTAAGAGTCTCTTATGGTTTGTCTCCCTCTCTGGTTTCATCTTCTTTCATTTCTTTGTCCCTTCCCCTATGATCCTCTACTTGTTTCTCAAATTCGTCATATCAGTGAGCTCATATGATACTTATCTTTCTCTGATTGACTTATTTCGCTTAGCATAGTACCCTTCAGTTCCATCCACGTCGTTGCAAATGGCAAGATTTTGGGGTTTTTTTTGATGGCTGCATAATATTCCATTGTGTGTGTGTGTGTGTGTGTATGTGTGTATACACACACACCACATCTTCTTTATCCATTCATCTGTTGATGAACATCTTGGCTCTTTCCATAGTTTGGCTGTTGTGGACATTGCTGCTATAAACATTGGTGTGCACATACCCCTTCAGATCACTACATTTGTATCTTTGGGGTAAATACCCAGTAGTGCAAT